AAACATATTTTCTCGCTCCCGTAGAGAAAGACGCCCTTTTATTCTCTCTCCCCTGTCAATGGGCAGAACTTTTTTTTCTCCCAGATTGTTTGACTACTCTACTGGGATTAGTCAGGATTTAGACAGGCATGTTTAGGTTGGAAGATGCCTGGTATCGCTGTTTGAATTTAACTCTGTAGTCACTAGGGGTGTGCAAAATAATCGTGATGATGATGCATCGTGATTCTAATTTTCGCGATTTACTGCATCGATTCTTGATGCCAAGAATCGATTATTAATTTAAAAAAATGAATAAATAAAATTGCATGAATGGTTGGCGAACATCAGCCAAAAACAAGTGTAATACAACTTCCAGTCCAGTAGATGTCGCTGCAAATGTGTTGACGCACGCTGCCTTGTGTCACAAGCATTTCCGGCTGCGGGATACTGTGCCGAGTCATTTAAAAACAAAACATGGAGGATAAAATATTGCAATGCATTGCAATAATTCAAGTATCGTGATGCATCGTGATAGAATCGCATCGTGGCCTGTGAATCGTGATTCGAATCGAATCGTGACTTCTTTGGCAATACCCACCCCTAGTAGTCACTCAGTTTAGCTCTGGGCTAAAGTGCAGCCACTTCTGCTAATTTGAATTATAATAGGAAATGATCTCATAGATGACGTTTGTGATATAGTTAGTCAGGAGCTCCTGCATAATTTCCTGAAATGTGAAACTATAAACACCCTTAAAATGAAACCATTTTGTTGTAAATGTAATATAAACATGTTTATCAGCCTTGACCCTTAGTGAAAAAGTGGAAGTGAATGTTCTCTTCTTTATGAGATGTTTGCTTCTTACAGATTAAAGAAACTGGTTAAAAGCTAAGGCAACAAAATCTAAATAGTAGATGCTTACTTGGATGCTTAGTGCAATCTATTCTAGCTGCTTAAGAACTATATGTTTAGCATTTGGCTGCTATTATTCATATTCTTGTGTTGGGCATTAAACCAGTGGCTGTATCTGGAAAATGATGCCAGAAAACAATACATAAAACCTGATGTGAAATACAACACTGCTTGTTGTTTAAAGTATAATGGAATTATATTTACTAAGTGGAAGATGGCAAACAACACAAAACTATCTTGTTTTAAAAAATCCTGTTTTAAAGTGTTTGATGGGAGTAAGTAAGAAAAAAATAAAGTAATTGTATACCTTTAGCCTTTAAAGAATTTCCTTTATTCATCAAAACCAGAAACATTGAGACAATACTTTTGTCTGGACGATAAATAATCCAACAAACTTCCCCAGTGGTTTTATTATTTCAGGATGTATGGATATAGCCATCTTTAATATACCGTGCAGTCCATGATTTATTTAAAATAGCTGAACAGGATGATGTTCATTATAAATGCAACAATCTTCCTCCGAGTTGTATACCTTAGTTAGGTTTTTTAAAGAGATTTGTCAGTGCTAATTTATAATTAGCGTAATTAATACAAAAACTACCCTTTTAATTAATCAATGCAAACCATTTTAATAGACATTTTTATGTAGGTTGGTTTTTATTGCTTAAAAAAGCAGCTGAGAGTTAGCTTTCCATTGTAGCCTTTATTTCTTTTGGAGTTTTATAGTTAAGCTCATAATGAAGCAAAGAGGGAAACTTCAGACTGAATTTATTACTTGAAAAATGAAAGGAGTAAATTACAGACTTACGTAATTATGGAAAAACAAATAGTTCAATGCTTTTTACATCAAATTGCATTATCCTTAAGTAAATTAATCAGTAGTGCACCCCCCTTAAAGAATAACCTTTAGTGTTTTAAGTGGGAAAAAAATTGCATTTTCAAATAAATTAACTTGTAATGTCCTTTTTCATGATTTATGGGTTTTAAACTGTAACAAGGTTGGAGTGAGGTTTGAATACACATCATACTAACCAGTTTGTGTGAGGTTCTTTTTTTTTTCCATATTCATCTTTAATTTTACACCAAATCTAGTGTTTGATAGGGAGCTTTTTTTCCAATGTTTTCTGACTAAGGCACAAGTTGAATTAAAATTCAAGTTTGATTTTTCAGTGTCTCTCTGTGTTTAGTGGTAAGAAAAAGTAGCAACTCATCCAACCTTCTGCTTTCATACTTTCCGATTGCAGAAGGCAGACACCTCAGACTTGCCTGATAATCATGTTCTTTAATTCCCCCCCCCCCCCCTTTTTTTTAAATAAGGAGCCCCTGTCACATCAATAGGGGGAGTGGGGGCCTAGTGGTTAGGGCATTGCGCTTGGAATCCAGAGGTTCTGAGTTCTAGCCCCACTCCCACAGACTGCCACTCTGAGTCCCTGAGCAAGACCCTTAACCCCACACTGCTCCCCAGGCAATGCACAATGGCAGCCCACTGCTTCTCAAGGGGATGGGTTAAATCAGAGTACATTTCGTTGCTCTGTACTTGTGACCGTGTAATGACAATAAAAAAGCTAAAAAAAAATATTTCCACAATTAAATGTCCAGAAGAGCCAAACCTAAATCTTTAGCATTTACTTGTAATTCAAATGATGAATAATTATCCCTCTAAGCCTACATTTCTGAAGTGTTTCTGTTTGTTGCAGTCATGATGAGAACAGCTCAGGTAAAACACACTTTGGCTCTTTTTTAAACAACTTATGTGGTGGTTTTCTAAACCAAAAATATAGCAATCCACTTCCTACTCAAAGATTTATTACCAATGGTTTAAATGAGGTCGCTTTTATTGTTTATTACTGTATTTTCATCGCACTATTGTTTTATTGTTTGCTGCATCCTGCCCTTCGCTCAGCTTCCCCTCGTGTATCCTCAGAGTTAATTCAAACTAATATTGCCTTTGGTCGGAAGCTATATTATAAACCGAGTTCAGCTTAGTGTCTGTCAGCTGTGGAGAGGAGTTGGGTACTTTCCACGCTGTCTTTCATTCAAGATTCGGGCAGCCTCAGATTCTTAGAAAAGAGGAAGTGGAAGTTATTGAAGTGGTATTAAAAATAGAAGAAACAACTTTTAATCAAGTAATGATTTTTTTTTCTCAAAAAATACTTTATTATAAAATATGCTCTGATATATCATTTCATGAAGCAAAGTTTGGCCATTTCTGCCATAACAGCATACTTACAAGCTGCATTAAGCAATATTCTGATGTAGTTCAACTGAATCAAATGAATCCCTGATACTGCGGTCTACTAACACATTTGGGTAATAGTTTAAGTTAACCTTTGCAAAAATGAAACCCAACTTTTGCACCTGCTCCTGCAAACACAACTGCACAACCAGCTCACTTAGTCTGGCTGTACACTTCCTGTTCAGCTCTAAGTGGCACATAGATGCGAGGTGGCTGAAGATCGTCGAGCTCGTGTAAATTAAAACAAACCCAGATGTTTTTCTCAGGAGCTTTGTGGACCAAACCAGAGCTGAAATGAGTTTACATTCGACACATGGCCAAAAAGATGACTGCGAACCCAGATTCCTCTGTTTCTGCTGAATGTGTAAGTAGTCAGTTGTTTGCCTAAAAGTTAGCTCTAGAAGCTTTTACAGTTATGTATTATATTGCTTAAAGCAGCTTTAAACTGATTTTGGTGCTAAAGCCATAAATGCTAATGCCACGTGTTCATATCTAGGCCACATGGTTGTACTTCATTTGCAGAAGATAGTCAACGCTTCACTCATCTGGTTTATTCATCCAAAGCTTGTTTTTTCTTGCATAATTTGTAAACAATCTAAGCTAACTGTATTTTTAAAGCACATATTTATGTTTTACATAGCAAGTTTTTAACTAATTCAACCACGTGACATCAGTGGTTGTATTTGTTTGATTTTAATCAGTTTATATTTTCATTTGAAAGCTAAAGATCTTTTTTGTGTTCTTCTTTTCCACTATGGCTTTATGTGTAATTTTTAAAGTTAAAATAAAAAAAAGACATATTTTTGCTGCTTTTAACAAGCTAATTTGAGTTATTGCACAGTTGTTTGTATATTTGATTTTTGAATGAGCCGTTTTAGTCATAATATAGCCAGAGTTCTGACCGTCTGTCTGTCAGGGATAATAGTACTACTTGGGTGTACCGGAGACATAAAAACCCCAGCCGCATTTTAGTAGTAGATCCTGCATTAACTTTTACAGCTGATACAGCAGGAAATAAGTGCCCTTATACTGCCTATTAGTATTAGACGTAGCTCAATCAGTGATACAGAGTGAATTTGAATTCATGTGGGATGGGTTAGGGTTTTGAAAACAAAATGTAGCTCTGTAAGAACGCTTGTCTCTGTTTGAGTAACAGTGTGAAAATTTGATTCAGTCTGTCCTGAGGCTCCATGGGTCACCTTTCCTGCGCTCTCCCTTTTACAGGCCTACTCAGCTGTTCATTACAGGCTTTGTGGGCTTGTTAGCACATGCTGCTGTTACTGCAGCCTTTGAGCTTCACATTCGTCTAGTCTTTTAACTTCCCCCCATAAAACCTGTTAGCAGCACACACATATATAAAAAAAACAACCTTTGCGGTTCTTTTAGAGCTTAAACAGAGAAAGTTTAGATGCCGGTCAGCTAATGATTAGGACCTAATGAATATAGCCTGGTTGAATCAGCCAGACATTATCCAGCGTACCCCCAAAAGATGGAGTCAAGCATTACAAAATTAAGCAAATAACGTTTTATCTGATATTTGTATCGTTTACCTTACCCCCCTCCCACCATACCCCAGACGTGCTTGTTAATAATCAACACTGGTAATACCTTCAATGCTACCCCCTTCTTATCCAGTGTGTGCTTGTGTTAATGGGAGCACTGCTGGAAATACCTGCTCAGTGTTACACTAATGAGATTAGACTAATTGGTATGTGCAGGTATTGCCGTAGCCGTTTCCCACTAGTTTACTTGACTGTATAAATTTGACACATGCGCATGTAGGATTGTTGTGAATGTGGTGCCCCTTTAAATTGTCTAGACAGGGCGAGAGAGGCAGTTTTCTCTGACCTAGACTTTGTTCTGTCTGTTTCTCAGGAGATGGCGGCCTCTGACCCCTGTGCAAACGCCCCCCCTACTCCGCCTGAGGAGCCGGAGCCTTCCCCGTCCTTACAGAAGAAGAGAAGGCGCAGGAAACTCAACAGAACTGAAAGGAATAAAGGTATAAATAGTAGTAATGACGAGTCAAATTATGCACCTTTGTGTCTTTTCTCTATGTACAGTTTTTTTTCTATTTTGTCTTGTTTGGTGTAGTTAAACTTATTTTAACATTATACAAAGATAAGTAAATCCAGCTACAGGTTAAATGGTTTTATTAATTTGGGGAAAAAGGTTATCGAAACCAACTTCACCCTGTGTTAAAAAGAAAATTCTCTTTTAAGTGCCATCAATGTTGGCCATATGTGGGAATATTTCTGTTGTTGTTTTGTTTTTTTGCTGTGGAGACATTTTGGCTTATTTCTGTTTCTTTAATTCAGTCACTTAGGAGGATTTTTAAGTATAAACAGCTTGTTTAAGATCACGTCACTGCACCAAAATTCGATTAGAGTCTGGAGTTTATCTTACCAACTCCAAAACCTTCATTTTGTTTTGGTTCTTTTGAGCCATTCACAGTTGGATTTCTGGTGTCTGTGGATCATTGTCCTGCTGCAAAACTAAATTGCATTTTAAATTCTTTGTCTTTTAAGTGATTTCTTAAATTCTGCAGGTCTGACAATAATCGAGCCTGACTACAGCATGAGAAATACGTAATTTTTCATTGTAGGTTAATGATTTAATAGGGAACACGGGCTAAGTTAATTTGATTAATTTAACTCAAAATTAGCACTCGAAATTTTGAAATAGTGAAATCTGTCTGAAAAATAAGAACTATGAAATTTTCCCTGTATAATGTAATTGTAGATCTAGTTTTATTGAATTTTTATTGAATTTGGTTATCTAACTTAGTTTATTATGTTCTTACCAGCCAAATAACACTGCTGTGTTTCAGTGTATTGTAATTTCAGAAATAGAGGCTTTTATATAGTAATGAAAGGCATGACTTTCCCTCCTCATTAAACTTGTTAAAATATACTAACAGCCCATTTCCTTTTTCCTCCTCTTCAGATGAACCGGATGAAAGAAACTGCGACTCTCCCAGAGAGGTGCGAAAACTTGTTGCTGCAATACTTTGGCTTTTGCCTCATCAAAATTGATTACTGATTGACTGATTAGTGTGCATTTTATTTGTGGGTGTACAGGGTGAGACCAGGAGGCTTCGGCGGAGGCCAGTCCCCAGAGTGACTTTCCAGGCTGGGGATCCGTTCTATATCAGCAGAAGGCAGAAGGAAGAATGGCTCAGCCGCTGGAAGATGGAGGTGGGAGATAAACAGGTCCCTGTCTGTGTGAAGATACTTGACAGTGCCATGCAAAAGTATTCATCCTGCCTTAAGCTTTTATATTTATTATATTGATTAACTTATATGTATTTTATTGGAATGGTATTAGATTGATCAACATTAGTCTGACACCCTTAAATAAAGGCAACCATTTGCCTCTGGATATTACCTATTTACTATACGGCTGTATAATAAGGAACTTAGCTATTGTGCCCTCCTTGTCATCATAAATTAATCATGCTCAGAATAAAACATGGTGGTGGTAGTATGATGCTCTGGGGATCCTTTGTTTTTATTTCAACTGTTCATGATTTACGGTAAGAACAGTTAAGGTAATAAACAGTAGTTATGAAAAAACAGCTGGGGGTGAAGATTTGTCTTCAAGTGTCTTCAAGTGGGACAACACTAAACATAAGGCCAGGTCTACATTCAAAGATCAAAGTTAAACCATGGGTTAGAATGGGCTTAAAAAGAATAGAGAACGTCTATTTACAGCTAATGTTCAAACTGTCTAACTGACGGTGAGCAAATTTTCAAAGGAGATCAGACACTGCAAACCCCAGCTTCTTTATTATTAAAAGCATTTAAAACTTAGGTATCATTTCCTTTCAACTCCACTATCCTCCCCTACTCTGTTTTTATTTATCAAATAAACTTAAATGAAACATTTCAGAAGAAGGTTTAAATTGAATTGATACTTTTCCGGGTGCTTTATATCTGCTCTGCAATATTTATCAGAAATAACTAAATGTGGTCTGATTTTCCGAAGTTAGATCACCTGTTTAACAGTTTTAAGTGATACACTGCAAAAACGATCTAGAAATAAGTAAATATTTCTTAAATTAAGTGTATTTATCCTTATTTTAAGTAGGTAAATGAGATAGTTTGCCAGTGGAATGAGTATTTTTACTCTTAAAATAAGATAATTAGATAAAATGCACTTGAAATAAGATAATGCAATAACGTTTTCTTATTTCAAATGTAAATTGTCTTGTTCCATTGGCAAAATGTCTCTTTTACCTCCTAAATTCAAGAACAAATGCACTTATTTAAAGAAAAAATTACTTATCTAGATTTCCATTTTCTCCAGTGTACCTGCTGTTCTTCAGCGGCTTGACTGCATCAGATATTAGCTGTGGTTTGTTGTTTGTTTTTTTTGTACTGCTGAATAGTCAAGTGAAGGTCAAATTCCTACAACTGTCAAGAAATAGATTTTATGCAGGTAGTTTGTTGATTGTGCAAAATATTTCCAGCTTATTTTCATATGTGCTATTTTATCCAATGTTTACTTTAGAAAATAAAACATGAAAACTAAATAAAATCTTCCATATTTTTGTTATAAACACTGCTATAGTCAGCCACTGATTTGCATAAAGCTCTAAACAGCAACCCTGCCTCTGCTCTAATAACCTAAAAAAATGACGCCTTTCTGCTGCTCTTCTTATACGCTTTGAGCAGCTTCACCATCTGGCATCCACCTGTAACCTCTGGATCATAGTTTCTCAAAGGGGAGGTATAATGTTCCTACCCGCTGGTCTGTTTTAAATATATTCATTTCTTGCGGAGCAACAAGGTCAGGGCCTAGATTTGCATCATAAATAATACAAGTAGATTGCCTACTCATCATTTGTTTCAAACGTTCTCTGCATTTTTACAGTTTTTAGTTATTAAAATTTTCTTTAAATAGAATAAAAGTTTATATTTTATACTGCAGTTGCAAAAATATACTGTGACATGAAACCAACAGAGGTATATAAATGTTACAGTTATGCAGAAATAGTGTTAAATGTGCTGCCTTAAAATAAGCTTTTTCCTCTCATACCCCTTTTTAATATTTCCGTGATTAGTTTTGTTTTGTTTTTATGTTTTTTTCCGAATTAGTATTCTGTAATCTAAAAATGTCCATATATGTGCTTAATTTATAAATTTTCATAAGTTTTTTGGGTTGTGTTATATGAACAACATATCTTATTTGAACCACTTTTTTAATCTGTAACACATTTTTTTTTTTTTATTTGAGTTTGTTTGCAGTCTTCTTTGCTCCACTACGAGGGTTTTAAATCTTAATTCAATCTTATAAATGCAGCCCAATTTTTTTTAAAGCACTATCAGACTTCGCACATAAAGCTACAAAAAGACTTTACTTCATGTGCCGCTACTCTTTTTGGATGTTCGCTGGTGTGCTAGGCTAATATTAGCTTGCCTTCTTTCCGTTTTGGTATGACCTGTTGGTGATTCAGCATGTTGCATGTTTTATTAAAGGCTCATAGAATGCAAAACCCAGTTTACATTGTCATAGATGAATAACGATTGTTCAGTGGGTGAAATGGACGTAGAGAAGTTCAATCCACATCGACACCTCCTTTCTCTGCAAATCTCACAATTCTAAACTTCCACCATAAAACGGGCAAATCCAAACGAAGCACCGAATTGACCTCAATTCAGGGGATGTTGCCTTATTTGGTTCTGGCCTGTACTTTTGTCACACCCCGAAATTGACATACAGACCAGCCCACTGGTTTACTGGCCCAATTGAGGGGGCGGGTATGAAGTGTTGACTGCTGGGCCGCTGACTGGACCGTTCTCAGCTAGATGAGGGGGGCTGGGGGCCCGTAACAGACATCCCAAGTCTCCCGAAAGTTCCGGGAGTCTCCTTGATATAGATAGTTGTTCACAGATGCCCGCAAGTGGGATAAATGATCCCTGATTTTAGACTATGCGAGGTGGTGTTATTTTGATGTGAGTGAGAGTGTGCAGGCAAAACAATGCATGCATTGTAGTCGGCCAAAATCCTGGACGATTTTGAAATTCCCCACGGACATTTTTTTTAGGTATGAAAAGTAGGAAATGTCCTGGAAAAGGAGGACGTTTGGTCACCCTACCATATCAACAATTTAGATGTTTTAGTTAGTGAGTGCTTGTTGCTATGATGAGTCGTTGTAAACCAACCAATCAGTGCACAGCTCATCTAAATATTCATGAGCATACCATAAAAGGAAGAAAGCCTGTTGTTTCATTCTGGGGCTCTTAACCAGGCTTGTATTAGGGCTCATAGAACAGCAAATATGCAATTTTCAGCCCAAGAGATGTTACACACCCTATTCAGAGACCTTAAAGGAATAGTACACCCAAAACATAATTAGCCTTCATTTTCTACTCACCCCCATGCTGAACAACACTCTGGAGTACTTTTTTGATATCTCAAATGCATCTGGAGATCTGAGAGGCTTCTTGCTGTCTGCTGACATTCAAATAATGGAGGTCTATGGCGCCCGAGACAGAAAGGTCCAAAAAAGTCCACAAAAACGTGTCAATATTCCTCCATACTGCTCGTCCAATGTAATCCAAGTGTCCTGAGTGGGTAGCATCCAGAATTTACTCGAAACGAAGTCATTTAGAACGTTTTAGAGCCTAAACAGTAGTGTATAGGATTTCCTAATAGCGCCCCCATGCGCGCTCACGATTCTACGGAAGCCGGCAGACCAAACCGGAAGAAAGAGCGCATTCAGCGTCTGCTCTGCCGATAATGCAAGCGTAGAAGAAGAAATGTGCTGTTTACCTGTGCAAAGAAAGAAACAACGAAAGAAAAATGTCTGAGGACTTCAGTGTTGAGGAAAAGCAGGAGTTCTTTGCCGAGCCTTTTCTCTATGAACCAGAATACACAGATGACGAACTTAGAGACATGGATGAGGCAGCTGCAGCTCAAGCTGAGCCGCAAACACCGTTGTGCTACAGACGTAGAGCGTCAGAAACGTGGTGTAAATGTGGAAATTGTCAAGCAATGCCAACAGAAGAGGAGAGCATTTGCTGTGTGGACTGGGACTTGTTGATGTCACCACTGGAGGATCTAAATATCTCCACTGATGAGACCGAGAGCACTAGCCAAAGACTTTGTGTCACCCAAAACACGGATTATCCACCATTACTGACCCGTGGCGTTCTGGAGATGTTTTTCCATGTGCCCAAAATCAATTGGAAAAAGAGGCCAAGACCCGCAGGACCAAACAACACGCTCTCTGCAGAGTAAGTTTTGTGCAACAGGCCTATGCCTTGCTAATAATATTATTATATATATCATATATATATATGATATATATATGATATATATATATGATATATATATCATATATATATATATATGATATATATATATATATATCATATATATATAGATATATATATATATATCATATATGATATATATATATATATATATCATATATATATAGATACATAATGTTAATGGTACTCACTGTGCAGTTTTTTGTATGTGATGCTAGTACTAAAGTCTGTTTACTCAGCATCTTACCCAGCTTGTGTCCTGGATGAGATGCTTTCTTTTTCACTTGTATTGCTAAAATAATGGCTCCATTTTACCCCCCCCCTCCCCCCTCCCCCAGTCAGTACAGGTTGGTGGCCTACCGTGTGGTACTCGAGTGGATTCTGAAAGGCGAGAGACTTGGCAAGGACAGCAGAAGAGTTTTACCAGCCTGTATTGTTACAAGCATCCATCCCAGCTACCCTTCACCAGATGGAGTGTATACTGGTTTCAAGGAGGCAGAGGCAGCTTTTGAACAGTTGTAAAGACTATAAACAAATCCTAAGAGACTCTTCCATATTAATTTGTACTACTTCATTATATTTCATATTTTTTCCCAAATCACAAACCTATACTGCCTCATTATAGATAACATTTCAGAATTTATGTAGCCGATAACTGTAACCTTTCCTGTACTATTGTGTTGTTTTGGAAATAAACAAAATGACTTTGGATGGTAAGAAAGATGTAACTCTGTTCCTTTGATTAAATATTTATTCTAGACCTAAGTGTGAAATGCAGACAAACCAACCACAGACACATGCCATTTTATTTAAAAATGTCATGTCATAACTATATTAAGTAAACCCCTTATCAGACTCTGTATCCCAGAATTTTGAAAAAAAAAAAAGGTTAAAATTACATGCCACCAGCTAGACTT